TTGGTGGTGCGTGTTGACTGATTTCCGGCTAGGCTACTGCTGCGTCGCCAGATTTTTCTATTTTTACTGTGACTTGTGTGGCCCGAATTTGAGGAAGTGTTCTTGATGAAAATTGTTTCCAACATCTTGAAGTATAACATATTTTAATTTGGGAATTTTTGGAAATCATTTGATGCCATTCGGAAGTCCATCTTTGGACCGAAATAAAACTGCCCGATTTACTGTTCACCCGACCTTCGGGTCTGTTCGAATTTTTATAAATTTTTTCAGGCCTATTTTCAAAATACTTCCTTCACAAAAATTGTTGGGGACATTTGTGGATATAACATATAAAAATTTCAAATCTTTTCAAGGTGATTTGGGTGTTGAAAGAAATGTATTTTGAGGACAAAGCAGTCTGTTAGAGCGAACTGATTTTGGTCTGATTTCGAGGGACAAAAAGGCATGGTTGCAGATTGAAATGGATTTCGTGTTCTTCATAAGAAATGTTGATCAAGATGTGTTTTATGATATATCCAAATTTTAGAATTTTTGGAGTTCGTTTACTATTTATTTTGATGGGATTTCGGTCACTGTGTAAACTGCCCAGATTTACCCTGATGCTATGAATTGAATTGTGTACGTGGTTGTGTGACTTGTGATTGTGGGCTGATTTGGATTGTGCTTGGGCCGAATGTGATGTGGTGCCGTGCCGTGTGTATGTGGCCGTGAGGTGTAGGGGCGTGGTCGTGTGAATATGCATTGAATTCGCGTACCAAGAGTGTGTGATTGGGTGGCGTGTTCGTGTGACGAGAATGTGAAATTGTGAAATGTGTGTGTGAGGTGTGTATGTTTGGCCGTGCGTTTGTTGGCCGTGTGTAAGTGTGGTTTGAGTGGAACGAGGATACAGAAATGTGGGATTGGTTGGAAAGGATCCATCCTGAGGCGTGTACGTTTACGCGGAACGATGCCGTCCCTGACGAGGTAACGATGCCCGGCCTGACGAGGTGTCGATGCCTGACGTGGTCAGAAGACCGTTGGCCTGATGCGTTTTACGTGGGCGCGGTAGAAGGAAAGTGTGTGTAGGATTCTGTCCTGAGGCGTGTACGTTTACGCGGGACGATGCCGTCCTTGACGAGGTGACGATGCCCGGCCCGACGGGGTGACGATGCCTGACGAGGTCAGAAGACCGTTGGCCTTATGCGTTTTACGCGGGCACGGTAGTGGTGGAAGAGTTGAGAATGAGCGGGAATTGGCTTGAGGTGCGAGGTTTGAGAAAGTGACGCGTGGTGTGAGTTGGTGTGCGAGTGTGTTTGTATCGCGTGGTGTGATGCTCGATTATGGGGTAAAAACTGCTAGGCATGGTATGGGACGTGCCCAAGTGGGTTTTGCTCTATAATCGGGGCACGCGCGCGGCTGTGATGTATTTTCTGTGGCATACTGGCTGTGTGGTTGACTAACGTGCAGGGACATGCATGAGGAATTCCAGGTAGGGTCGCGTGTGGTTGCTAGTTTGGTTGATTGTTGTGTGTTATGCGTGTTTTCGTCTGGCGGTACGTGAGTGCCTACGTGGGGTTTGGGGTTGTACACTTATTGAGATTCGTCTCATAGTTGTATAATCCACAATTTCAGACCCCCAACCTTAGACCCGGGAAGTTCGCCTCCTCTTTTTGGAAGTTCGAGGAACCACCTTTGGTGCCCAGTGGAGCTGCATTTGATTTTCCGGAGCAGAAGCCAGAGGACTCAGGAGCAGAGCGGAAGAGGGCAACCAGTAGGCTTTTCCTAGGATATTTTAGGGGTTGTTTAACTTGGGTTAACCGATAGTGAAGTTAAGATAACCAAACCCCTGAACTTTTGTTAAAACGGTGACGGAGTATGTTCGTCTGTATATGATGTTTATATGTTTGGTGCTGTATGAAGATGTTGTTGTTTGATTGTTGTGGTGTTCTACCCCGTTGTCGTCATCTTTTTGTCCGGGGTTTTTATATGCGCTTCCGCATGTGGCTCTGATGTTTGGGTTGGGTCGGCGACGTTCCTGGGACGTCGGATCATTTCGACTGGAGTGGGATGTTGCGAGCTCGTAGGGGTTCGGGGCGTGACACCCGGTCAACGGGCCGGTCCCGGGTTTGACCCGGGCCGGTTCCGGGCCAAAACCGGCCCGTGGCCATGACTACCTCTGGGTCTTTCTTTATGGTTCTTTATTACTGCTTCCTGCATCCATGAATGGCTCTCACATGCAAGTCAGTCAGTCATGTTGGTTCCGTCTCTACCTCTAGTTTGTCTCTTCTCTATGCATCCTTAATTCCTCGACGGAGTCTCTCTATCTCTCTCTCTCTCTCTCTCTCTCTCTCTCTCTCTCTCTCTCTCTCTCTCTCTCTATTGAGTGGGTTTTGTAGGCTTTTGCCTTCTCCCCTTCTTTGGTAGGAAGAAAAGAACAGGAAAATGCAACGAAGCGATAGTAGAAGACTTTGGTTTGCTTGCTTTCTCGTGTTACCCGCTGTGAAGTAGGTTAGCTAACAACGATGATTTGGGACTTAGTGTGCTTTCCAGACAATTAACCAATCGGGATTAATATAAATTTGATAATTCATCGCCTCCTCTCATTATATTCTTTTGAAATTTTAATTTAAAATTTAAGATAAAAGAGTTGCAATTTTAAAATTTGGAATAAAATATATTAAGTTACTCACGGTTAGATCATAATTAATAAAATAGTTTGTATTGAGAATTTTGCAAATCAACCCATTTTGCAAATCAAAAACATATTGTTCATAGCACTCTACATTCACTCCGTTACTAAATCTGATTATCTAGGCTGTTTCACAGCTTAATTTCTAAACTCAAGTTGGTTTTATTTTGAATGGGATACTAGATATATTTGAGTTGATTTTGTGTAATCTTGGTTGACACGTTCCTCGATTTGTCGAATCTCCATATATCCGGAACATTGTCGGTGTCTTTTATTTGATTATGTTTAAATTTGTAATATCATATATCTTTCCGTATTTGTTTGGGTTTTAGATCCATATAAAAGATCATCATATTTGTTTGGGATCTAGCTCTATATACTATAAAGTATTATTTGAAAAGGTAGGGCATAGTCAAGCATTCAAAGTTTGTCACGTTATTTTATAACTAAGTAATAATGTGAATGATTATTTTCAGTCTCTTATACTATTTAACTGTTTTTATTGGTAACACCGGCACTTCATAAAGTGATGTTAATATTGTGACACATATATGATAATTTTAATTTTAAATTTGTTATTAAATGAATGGGACCCGGAAACTTCTAGGATGACAACCCATTGATCGATCCACGGAGACTTTTAGGAAACTTCTGGGAAACTTCTCGGATGACTCTTGGAAAGTTTTCCCCTACCCCATGACACAAGAGACTGAGAGAGCTTATAATATTGACAGCCCTCGCTCAGATCCAAGCACACCCAAAGCAAACTTCCCTAAGAGATAGAAAGGATCTGATATCTTTGGTGTTTAGAGATCCTACAATGGAGAAAGGGACGAATTCACGGGCATCATCTGGACCTTCATATGAGGTTTTTCTGAGTTTTCGAGGAGTAGATACCCGTTATGGATTCACCGATCATCTTTACCATGGCATGGTTGATGCCGGGATCATCGTCTTTAGGGACAATGAATCCCTCCATGTAGGTAAGGAAATTGGTGGTGAACTTCTACAAGCAATTGAGAACTCCAAGATCTACATTCCCATATTCTCCGAGAATTATGCTTCGAGTGACTGGTGCCTCCGAGAGCTCGCATGCATGGTCGAGTGCACCTCGAAATCAAATGGGAACAAAGAGATTCTGCCGATTTTCTTGGATGTGGAACCTGCTGATGTCAAGCTGAAAACTAACTTGTACAGACAAACATTTTCAAAGCACCGAAGACGTGGTGCACGGCGCAGTCATGGGAAAAGGCTCTCATTGAGGTGGGCAAGATAAAGGGATGGAACGGCAAAAAGATCAAGGGTAAATGTCTTAAAACTTTTCAACTGTCATATGGAGATTTCGTTTTCCTCCCTATTCAGTATAATTGTGGTATTGTTGGGGAAATTATAGTTTATTCATCTAGTCGATTCTATGTAGTTCAAATAGCGGTGGCGGCCGCTGCCGCTACTGCTATCGGCCACTATGGCGGTGAGAATGGAATTCTCACCAGCAGTGGCCAATAGTGGCCGCTATCGGTTGTATTGCTGCAATAGCTCTGGTCAATGGCACTATTGCGGTGGTTGTGCACGCTACTCATCCTGATTCTCTCTCCTCTTACTCTCGGTCTTTGACATAGTAGCCACGATCAATAAACAATTCTCCAAGCAGCTCCACCAAGTCGCCGACCAGCCACCACAAGCAGCTTGTCCGTCGGCCACCGCCACTTCCTTGTCGCCACCTAACACCAACCCGCAAGAAGCCTCCTCCGAGCCATCCGGTCCTCGCCCTTTCGCTCTCTCATTCACTGAGGCGAGTCGGATCCGGGATTTGGATGTCGGGTCTGATATCACCAAGCTCGGCCTTGGGCGACCGTCGCCCAAGGCCGATGACACCATCCCCAGCAGTCGCAAGGCCACAACCCACGTGATGTGGAGGATTGAGGCAAGGCCGAGATGGGCAATGCCACAAGAACGTGACGGTGACGGCCCAGGGAGGCGAGCGACGTCAACGGCATGGTGACTGAAATTTGGGGGAGCGGAGATAGATTGGGAAAAATCCGGATTGTTTTGGCGTCTAGATTATTTTGCGTACTTTCTGCAAATTGTAGGGGCAATTGAGTCACTTAGGAATAGTTTTACAACATAAAATTTATCCCTAACATGGTTGTTATGTCGTGGCAGCCAAGTAGATTTGATACAATCTGTTAAGCAAGCTGTATTGACTAAGCTGAACATCGGATTTAAAAAAAAAGTGACTGAACATCTAGTTGGAGTTGATGATCGTGTAGAAGCTATAATCAAAATGTTGCATGTGGAATCCGATAGCATACAATTCCTTGGAATCCACGGAATGGGCGGGATTGGCAAAACAACACTTGCCAAAATCATCTTCAACCAACTGTCTTCTCACTTCCGAGGCTGCAATTTCCTTTCCGACATCGGAGAGTCATCACGACGTCATGGTCTGGTACATTTGCAAAAACAGTTACTATCCAAGTTCCTCGATTCTCATTCTAACCTCGACCAAATTCACGACGTGGATGATGGGATCGACATGATTAAGAGAGTACTTTGCAATAAAAAAGTTCTCATTGTTCTTGACGACGTGGATGAGAAAGAGCAACTCAAAAGATTAGCAGAAAAGGGCAATTGGTTTGGTTCCGGTAGTAGAATTATCATAACTACTAGGGACCAAAGTGTCCTAATGATTGAGGGAGAAGCAACAGATGAAGGCCCTGTAAAAAAGTTTGCAAATGTTTGGACTTACGAAGCACATGCAATGGAATTTGATCATGCTCTTAAGCTTTTTAGTAGGCATGCTTTTAGAAGAGACTCTCCACCATACCATTATGCCTCCCTTTCAAAAGCAATTGTCACTACTTTGGGAAAGCTTCCATTGGCTCTTGAGATTACAGGTTCATCCCTTAACGGTAAATCCGAAAAAATATGGGTAGACACATTGAAGAAGCTAGAAGAAGCTCCTCCCATGGGAGTCCAAAAAAAATTGATGGTATCTTATGAAAGGTTAGATCATGCACAAAAGCAAGTATTTCTAGATATAGCTTGTTTTTTTGTTGGTCGGGACAAAACATACCCTCTGTACATGTGGGATGAATGTGGATATCACCCCCACGATTCCCTTGAAGTCCTCTCTCTCATGTCCTTGATAAAAATCAAAGACAACAATACTTTCTGGATGCATGATCAAGTGCAGGACCTCGGAAAGGAGATTGTCCGTCAAGAGAATTTCAACGATCCCCGCAAGCGTAGCAGAGTGTGGAATCATATGGAAGCCCTGAGCATTCTGCAGCTGAAAGAGGTATAATAACGGAATAGCAATTTATTTTCTTATGAATTGTTGCATACTATTCTTGCAAAAGGAAAAATTAATTGCTATTAGTGCTTAAAATTGTTTGCTGTTGACCTTCACATATGGACTTCTTGGTATTTCCATTGTCAGGGAAGTCGGAAAATAGAAGCACTATCTGTAGGATATCATGGAAATGAAGACGTTATTCTAAAGCATGATGAATTTGCTAATTTGCGGAACCTGAGGTTCTTTCGGGGGGGATAGGGTGTTATTTGTTGGAGACTTCAATAATCTTCTCTTCAATTTAAGATGGATTTCTTGGCAAAGTTGCCCTCCCAAGTTTGAGGCAACAAACTTTCATCTGACTAATTTAGTCATTCTTGACCTTTCACGGGGCCATATTTCTGAGGAATGGATTGGCTGGAACCAAATCAAAGTATGATTTGAGTCCTACTCCTTGCATACGCATATCGTTTCTTTTGCCATTTTTTTCTTACAAGTCATTACTCGTTATATATTGATCCAATTGTTTTGCAGGAGGCCAGAAAACTAAAAGTACTAGATCTCAGCTACTGCTACCACTTAAGGAGAACACCTGATTTATCTACGTGGGTATCCTTGGAGAGATTGGTTTTTAAAGGTTGTTCCAACTTAATTGAAATTAACTCGTCCATTGGTAAATTAAAGCTCCTAACTTCTTTGAACTTGGGGGGATGTCAGTCTCTTCGAGAGTTGCCTAAAGAAATAGGAAGTCTACAAGCTTTGATAGAGATTGTCATGCCTAATACGCTACATGAACTTCCGGAGACGTTTGGTAATTTGCAGTCACTGTTGACCCTCGATGTATCATATAGGCAGATCAACAAATTGACATACTCGATTGGAGAGCTGGTGAAACTTACGCGGTTGGATTTATCTAGCATATACATAAAGGAACTTCCAGATTCGATTGGGAAATTACAATCATTAGTTGAGTTGGATTTGTCGCGGACGAGAATTTGTCACCTACCCGATTCAATCGGCAATCTAAAGCAACTAAAGGTACTAAGGATGAGAGGCATAAGAGGGTTAACAAAATTGCCAAGTGCGATTGGGCTGGTGGAGAAGCTCGAAGAGTTAGATGCAAGTGGCTGTTACAATTTGAAAGGTGAAATCTCCGAAGAAATTGGGAGACTGTCCCGTTTGAGGATCCTAGACTTGTCAGACACACGTATATTCGGATTACCCATCACGGTGAGTCACCTCTCTAATCTCCAAATACTTAAGCTAGAAGAATGTCCTGAGCTGAAACAATTGCCGGAGCTTCCCCCAAGTTTGACTTGGCTGATATGGAGCACTTCTGGTGTCTGGTGTTCCCCCACGATAGCCTTCATCGGTGGCGCTAGAATTGGTGCCCTATCTCAACAGGGAACACTTGTCACCACTCTTCCCACTAGCATCAGTACCCTATCTCAGCTTAAATCACTATCATTGTCCTGCAAAAACGTGCAATTCCTCCCCCGGCTCCCGTCTAGTTTAAGAGAGTTACGACTTCAAGATCTGGCGACCACACGATCACCGGATTTTTCCAATTTGCAAAACTTGTCATTCTTGGAATTCTATGAATGTTCGCTAAAACTCTCGAGTATATTTGATGCGGAGTCGGAGGAACTCCGTGTGGAGCTCTGTAAGCTTAGAAAAGAGGACTCACCGTTGCAGCCGGAAATGAAAAGATTGAGATTATTAAAGATGGATGCTTGTGCGTTCCTTCCAGAAGTACTTGATCTGTCGCGCATGAAGAATCTATCCGAGGTAAGTCTGACACGTTGCCGTTCATTAGTCGAGATTCGTGGCCTTGAAGAATTGGGATCCCTTGGCTCCCTATCAGTTGCCTTTTGCCGTTCCATGGAGAGGATGTCAGACCTATCGAAATTGAAAGAGCTACGGAAGCTCGAGGTAACAAATTGTTGGAACCTAAAAAGCGTACAAGGTCTAAACCACTTGGGACCTTTAAAGGAGCGGAGAATGTTTGGTAATGGAGAGTTTGGAGGTGATACCTCAAACGCTGCCGCCGCGTCCGCCGTCATGCACAAAATTCCCATTGGCGGCTCCGATTCCTAGATTCGCTGCATTCTTTGGCGGGTCGCCGCGGCCTCCACCCTTGCTTCCGCCTCCGCCATCGCCTCTGGGAGCCCCATCGGCAGCTAGTTGGAATATGGCAACACCAAGTTTCGCACCATAACTTGCAAGTGGTAATTCTAAATTGCACACCAAATGCTTGCGCAATTGCCTCTTTCCCTGTTCGAATCTGGATATGAAGTTTTGTTACAGTGGTTTGATGGGTGAAGTTTCTGGTGTTGAGCTAAATGGGCATACTGTGCGAATGGACATCTTAGTTTTGATTTGGTGTGCAAACGGTGGTAAAAACCCCACATTTCAAGAGAAGTTTGTGTTCACGCTCGTTGAAGGGCATAGGGAGTTGAATCTTGCGGTGTGGAACGGCAATATCCTCACTTTGGGCATGTACGATCCGTTGAATCTATTCCTCTTTTCTTATGCATGTATAATTATGCATAAGGTTCAAAAGCAAAATACAAAAAAAAAATGTCAAAAGATAGAGTACACAAGATGACCTTTGTGTAAGAACAGTGGTGTGATTTCTCTAATTCACTCATTTGCAATAATAATGCTAGGTTCTAACTTTGCTTTCAAAATTACATGCTGACTGCCAAATTATTGTTGTTGTCATCGTCATCATCATCATTAGTAGGTTCGATTGCTTGACCGATTTGCTGGAAACTTGGGTGCTTCACAGTAGTGGCTGCATTTTCCATATCCATTTTAGTTAGTCATTTGTGTGTTAGGGTTTGGCATGTCATATTTGCCAACTTTTATTGTTTTATTGTCTATGGATATCATATATTTTGTTTTCTGGTGAAATATGAGCTATTTGAGAATATTGGGAGTATTTATTCCTTCCAGAAGTAAAATTCTTGCACAATTTAGTTGTCCCAGTAGTGACCATTGCTAGCGATACACTAGTTCTTCTAGCTAGATTCTAATATGGTCAATTTTGTAGTGGACCAAATAGCATACTCGTCTTGGTTTGAGAACAAGCCCTTGGATTTTTTCTTTTTATTTTCAAGAATATAGTTAGGCACTTACTAATATTTGATCCAACGGCTTTGAGATTAAAACATATTGATATGTCCAACCAATTCTGTAAGAATGACATTGTAAGGACCCAGGGTCTACACTGTGTAATATTGTCCGCTTTGGGCCCACTGACCCTCACGGCTTTAAAACGCGTTATACAGAGTAGAGAACCCAAGCCTTATAAACTAGCCCAAGACTCCCCCCTAAGCGATGTGGGACAAGAGACATGCCCCCCTTGCCATCCTAGAAGCCTGCCAGGAGCCGCTCCTTGTCCAGGCCCTCTGGCCCCGGCGACCACTCCCCGCCCTCGTCGGACCGGGTCGTTACATTCTCCCCCCCTTTGGGCACAGCGTCCCTGCTGTGGCCCCACACGCAGTCGGGAGTCGGCTCTGATACCATTTGTAAGGACCCAGGGTCTACACTGTGTAATATTGTCCGCTTTGGGCCCACTGACCCTCACGGCTTTAAAACGCGTTACACAGAGTAGAGAACCCAAGCCTTATAAACTAGCCCAGGACTCCCCCCTTGCCATCCTAGAAGCCTGCCAGGAGCCGCTCCTTGTCCAGGCCATCTGGCCCCGGCGACCACTCCTCGCCCTCGTCGGACCGGGTCGTTACAGACATGGACTACTTCCTGTAGCTAAAGTAATGGAGTCTTTACATATTCCCAAGGGTGTGAGATGGGTGTTGTTAAGAACCCTACATACTGCCAGGTAAACTTCGGTTCCTAAGAATCCTTTTGTGGGTCATGGTCAGCTGAACTAATGTGGGATTTCCAAATTGTTGGAAGTCATGTCACCCATGCATGTGCTATTGGAGCACTCATCTGAGTATTTTAGTATACTGTGGTACTTGTGAGTACTATGATTAGAAGGACAAATTAGATTTGTGCTATGTTTCGTTCTCAGATGGCTTATGTACAAAAAAGAGTTCGACACGAGCCATGTGGAATTCGTGAGAGATGGAGCAAAATGGTTGGTAGAGAACATAGAAATTAAACTTGGTAGGATTCGTCCCTTTTTCCTATTCTGATGCAATCTTAGTGAGAAAGCTCTTTTTCTCTTTTCTTTTTTTCTTTTTTGTTTGTGTGTGTTTGGTGGTTTGCTTCATTTTCATCTTATCGTCACCTTTTACCAAGACTCACTGATTTATAGTGCACTTCATGATGTTTCCTAATCGTGACCCACAAACCATGTTAGGATATATTTCTGTTAGGTAGCTACCTTTTCTTTTACCACCAATTTTTACTTGCAGCTTCACTACAAGCAAATGTTATTTTTCTTAGGCATGGCAACAAAAGCATACTTTCATCTTATTTGATTTTCTCCTTGATGACTCATGAGTCGCAGTATGGTGCTATAATAACTGTCAACATGAACACATGATATTTAGTTGATCTCTAAAGGCATTGGTGTGTAAGAAAATGCTCAAGCATATGTTGCTATCAAGCTTTTGAGCACTATGCAGGTTCGTTTTTTGTTAAACCTACCTCTTGAGAAATAGTGCAACTTGATCATCTATTTTTCTTCTTCTTCTGCAACTTGTAGATTATTACATGTTTGAGATTGAGATGCAATCTTGCATGACGCAGTCTGTGCTATTCAATGCATGAATTGATTACCTGTCTGTTACCGCATATGATGATTTGATTGCATTCCATCTTATCTTCCTTGAAAGCTGGGTAAGAAATTGATTTGACGTATGACAAACTTCCCCATCAAAATTAAGAATGACCATGTTGCATTGCTGAATTGCCTGGATTTCACATCGCTGCATTCTCATATGAAGTCTAGGCTCAAGAAATTGACACTACGGTAAAGCTACAAGAAATTGTTCTTGTTGAGAGCTTGAAACTCGAAGATGTACCCGTGGGAGTGTATACAGTCCATGTCTGCCTTTGAGATTGCTTGGTGCAAAAGGATCACCTATAAGATGCATCCTTATCAAATAACTTCTCTGAGTTTTGTTCTTTTTGAGGGGAATTAATTTGACGACTGCTTTATCTATGGCCATCATTATCGTTGTCACACGAGATCAACTTATCCCTGATTGGTTACCATATAGGTGGCAATTGAAGATTCTTTTGTTTTTTTCGTGACGTTGCATGTGATAATGCCAGGTGCTAACAATATTTCTTTTTTTGTTCCAGGGGAGTAGGAGTTATCAAAAGTGCCAAGTGAGAAAAGGCATTGCACGCACGTTCTCCTCAGACCTCAGATTTACTTTGATGGGGCGTGTTTTGCAAAGAATGTAGAACTTTAGTGATCATTTGAATATGTAATATTTCTATAGGCAAAGCAGAGGATATGGTTATGTTTACATAGATAATGTTACGCTTTCAAAATAAGACTTGTCTAGGCAAAGCAGATGATATGTGTGACATCCTGAAAATTGGTCCATTTGGGATTTATAAAATACTGAGTTTTATGAAATGTACTCGTAGTAAATTCTCGCCCGGAACTGATCATTCCTGGGATACTAACCATTGGGGAAAGGCTAATCAGGGATTAAATTCGTGCGACTAAGAGAAAATTTGATTGTGAATCGATTTTCGACCATAAAATCGTCGAGGTGACATTTTGAGCCATTGTTGGCCGATCCGAGGATAGCTAGGGGTCAGTTCGCCACTGTCATAGTAGTGGATCGCGGGTGATACCGCCAGACCACAAAATGAATTGACGAACGATCCTGAACTTATACCAAACGATCGTGCCCCTTGGATCTAGTGATTGATCCTCGCGATTTAAATGACAATGGAAGTCATCACGAACCGAATGAACTTGCACGTGACTCGAATTATTATCAGTCACGGGTCGAATATGCGAATTTCCCCAACGAGCCACCCGTTAGTTTGAGAAACGCTCGAGTTGCGTTTAATAAAATTTAATTATTTAATTGAGCCCAAATTGGACATCGGAAAATTAGGAAGTCACAACGGGACGTCAGGACGACGTTGTGGTTGGAACGTGCAATTTTGGATTGTCCCGAATCCTTCAGAAAAATTCAATTTCGGCAAGAAAATGGAAAAGTGACCATTTTGCCCTTGGGAATTTATGAAGGGCATATTTTATGAGGGAGGGGTATTTTGGTAATTTTGCCCTAGTTTTGGAAAATGACAATTTTACCCTTGGACTTTTTGAGAAATTTCCAAATTGCCCTTGGATATTTTGGGTAAGATTCGATCTCGGCCGTCGGTTTCAAGATAAGATCGAATCTGGACCGTCGGTTTGGTTTGTGAGTAACGGGCAAGATCATCATTTTGGCTATTGAATTATTGGTTTGACTATTAAAGGCCCCAAGACCCATTCTCTCTCCTCTATCTCTCTTTCCATTCGGCACACCCCCTCACGAACCCACCCTCTCCGGCCATCTCTCTCCCTCCCGCCGTGCCGCGCCGCCGCGCCATGCTGCCCGTCGCCGCCGCACCGTCCATACGCCGGCCGCCGTACCACCGCCACCACCCCGCACCGTCCGTCTCTCTACCCCTCTCTTCCCCGTGTGGCCGTGAACCACGGCCGAGCAAACCAAGGAGCTCGTCGCCGTCGCACCGCCGAGCCACGCCACCGCCGAGCCGTGCCAAGCCGCGCCGCCGTCTCCGTCAATCGCCACCGCTTTTCGCTCTAGCCGAGATAGTCTAGGGCTCAGTAAGTGGCGCTCTAAATCCTATTTAGGACGTCGGGTATCGGAGGATGATTTTGGGTGGATTTGGGTTTAATTAGGTATGGATTAGTAGGAATTTGGGTGTGGAATTGATTGGCGAGAATTAGAAATGAAATCGGGATATTTGATAGAAAATTTGGGGTTAAAAGCGGGCTGTGATTGGCTGTTCGGTGGACTGTGATATGCCGATCGGGGTGTAAATTGGATATGTAGAACCGGCGATTAATTATATGAAAATGTCGTGAAGAGCCGGAACTGATTTGGCGTGGTTTGGGTATAAAAAAATGCCGATTTGCGCGTTGGCTGTGTGTTTGTACTGTGACTGAATTATGATGGAGAAATTGGGTGCGTGATTGTGTGACTGATTGTTTGAAATATACCTATTGGGTGCACGCTTGGGCCAGACTAAACCAATTGTTAAATTGGCCATGTCAAATGCTTAGTGAAAATGAATTGTGTGTGAATTGATGCGTGCACGGGCCACGTGTGACTGGCCGATTGAGTGGCAAGTAACTGTTGGATATGTGCATGAGCAAGAGAGTGAATGTGGTGTGGCATGTGCGATCGTGAAAATTGTGCCGTCCTGAGGCGTGTACTTCAACGCGGGACGATGCCCGGTATTACCGGAAGACTGCCAAACCTGAGGCGTGTACTGTAACGTGGGTTGTGCAGTAGGTGGTAGATGTTGAGCCTGAGGCGTGTACTGTAACGCGGGCGAGAAACATGGCCTGAGGCGTGTACTGTAACGCGGGCCCTGAAGTGTTGTGATAAGTGGTCGCAGTGAACTTGAGGCGTGTACTGTAACGTGGGTCACTGGCGAGTGGCATGGAAAGAAATGTGGTGAGACAAGCGGGAATGTGTGAAACATGATTTAAGCATGCATGTGCTTGCATATGATGTGGGTCTGACTAACGTGCAGGATGCAAGCAGGATAGGCCCAGGTAATAATAATTTATGTGCCTGCTTTGTGCTAATTGTGTGTGTGATTATGTTTGGTGATTATTTGGAGATACGTGATAGCCTAGGTGGGGTTTAGGGTTGTACTTACTAAGATGTAGTCTCACGGTTGTTTCAACCCAACATTTCAGAACCCCGACAAGAGCAATGAATCCCCCGCCACCACCTGAGCATTTTGGAGTACCGGTGCACACCGAACAGGAAGTTTTAGAGTTTCCCATGGCTGACAATATGACCTGAATTAAGCATACTACTACAGTTTTTGTAGACGTAGGAGTACCACTATGGGAAGAGCATAAGTATGCCGCTTGGTTCTTCAGGGATGGGATAGACGAGTTTGGACCCGTCTGTGGTTTTGACGTCCCTTTCGATTTAGTTGGAGACTGGGACCAGACTGCCGTACCCCCTCCTGACGGCAAATTAACTAGTGCGGAAACTAGTATGGCTCAATCTGGATTGCATCCAGCGCCGGCAGCACAAGGATCTTCAGGGGCTGAGCACGAACCCGAAGGATCGCAAGCAGAATTCGACCCAATGGATATAGATCTAGAGCCAATTCCCGAAGAAGAACCAGAGGAGGTAGAACCCGAGGCGGAACTCGAGAACGAGTCTGCTGAGTTCGCAGAGCCTGAGGAAGAACCAGAATATATACTCCCGTATGAGTAGTTTATGGATCCAGAGTTTGTTCCGGAGTACGGGTCTGATGATGAGTCTGAACCGGAGGAGCAGGATGAGGGCCCAGCGGAGTCGGGTGATATAAACCACCCGATTGAGATTGAGGCCGAACTGGAGTCTTCGGAGGAATAGACTGTTCAGGAGAACTCGGACTTTGAGGACGAAGAATCAGATTCAGAGTAAACGCCGAGTAAGGGGCGTAGAGGCTAGTATAGGGGTTGAAGCTAGGTTTTCGGAGGAGTACCATTTTTGAGGATAGAATGCCCAGGTCATCGGTTCTTTTTTATATCGATGTTTTATAGTACGGTGTGCACATGTATATAACGGTTTGTAAAATTGTGAATATTATGGTATAAGTTTAAATGAGAAAAGAATATGTGTATTCTCCCTACTCTCCCCAGAGATGATTGTCAGGGTGAATTGTGGTTTCCGCTGTTGAATTAAATCTCTGATGATTATAAGTGGGGTCGGCGATACCCTGGGATATCGCATCATTCGACCGAAGAGGGATGTCGTGAGCTCGTTGGGGTTCGGGGCGTGACAATATGGTTATGTTTACATAGATAATGTTACGCTTTCAAAATAAGACTTGTCTGGGTTGTTCCTCATTTTTCTTCTTTTCTGTTAATAAAGAGCTGCTGGGGATTGAGTTCATTTGAACACATACTTGACGAGGCCCACCAAAACTGGTTATAGTGACACTTGAACAGAAGCCTTTGAGAATCTGTTTGGCTATTTGAGAGTAGTTCCCTCCGGTAGAATTGTACGTGACAAGGGCAAGAAAAAATCGTTTTTTCAAGTCTTTCCTATATTTATTTGCAAATGTTTTTGTACATGACATGCGTTTCTGGCGTGGTTTTAGATTGATTTGGCATTAGGATACGCCATTCTCTAGTGTTCTCTTGGTTGAGGTCTCATGGGGGTTGAAGTTTGCTTATATCACTGCAGTTTGATTTTTTTTTCCTTCTTTTACAGTCTGGTATCTTCTGCATTCTTGTGGACTATTTGATTGAGCTAATAGGGGTCTACTCTGACTATGTCCAGGTTTGGCTTGGTCTTATAGTCATTTCTTGATTCACATTACCCTTTTACCATGACGATACCCGAGGATAGTGTTGCTCAAAGTTCAGGCTAACTTTTTCTGCACCATCAACAGGTAGCTTCTTTACATGTCCACTGTTGAAATAGTGCGCCAACCTAATTTTCTCTCTTCTTTAATACTTCACTAACCGCTTCTTCTTGTTTTGTTCGAAAACCTTCGTACAATCACAGGAGCACTTGGCACCCGCTGGTTACGTGAAGATACAACCGTGAGTATGATTCTGTGTCAAGAGAGAAAATATTTAATCAGGGGTACTAGGGAGAATAAATTGCCAAACCACCAAATCTTATACTATACCTCGATTTAAGTATAATATCCATTTACAATATAAACTTATGCTACAACCGCCATTTATAAACCACAAAGCAAAATATGCACACTGAACTACCAAACTGCAAACCACCGATATCACAGAAAGATCAGTAGCCTGGGTAAGCACTACACCAAAATGGAACACTTCCAAACTCTTCCTCAGCTCCAAAACTAATCCCTATGCCCTCTAGATGGCATCCACTCTGACTCAC